CACACACACACACACACAGGGGTGTAGTTGAGAGATTAGAATGTTTGTGTTCTGACCATGAAACCTAGATACAAATCTCACTGAAGTTGGGTTTTTTTTTGGGGGGAGGGATTTATGATATTAGCCCAGGAAAGTGTTTGGAGAAAAAAAAAAAAAGCATCCAGTTTGATGCAAGCCTTGTAAGTGAAATTGGGTAGATAAAACTATTCAGAAGTTATTGATGATTGTACTAGCATAAAGCCACAAGTCATTGTGACTGAGCATTTCAAGGTACAGCCTTTACTCACTGTTCATTCAGGATAGATGTAGTATAAACCACAGGTTGGCTCTGTGGGACATAAAAAAAAAATCACAAATGGGTCAGTGTGGATGTCTACAACAAGGATTTAGGTATACATCCTAGCAGACCAGTGTACTCATCCAGCCATTTACTTGTACACACACACACACACACACGTTATGCTTATGGGTAAAAGTGCTCAATATCAAGGATAGAATGTATGTAAATATAAACATGACCTGAAGTTTGCATTCAAGCTTGAAATAGTCTTTTGCTCAGTGTTGATCTCACTGTTCACTTATATTTCTTTAAATTATGTCCCACTGTTTTTGTATTTATGTGTGAAAAATTTCAGATAGAGTATATCTGTGAAAAAGCAATATGAATAAAGACCAAAGGGTAACTTAGATGTCGTGTTTCATCTTCTGAGGGACTTTATGAAGGACAATTTGCCTTGATAAAGTCTCTCAGAGGACAAAATGCATCAGTTAAATAAGTTTACCATTTGTCTTTATATATATATATATACACACACATTGTTTAAAAAATGTATACGCATTTTGAAGCTTTCTTAACTAGCTAGACCAACTCTATCTAATTTAAATAATGCATAAAAGACAGTATTTATTATGAATGCATACGATACACTGTAAACATGTGTACACATTTTTTAAGACACCCTGTATATAATATATATATATATATATATATATAATATATATATATATATATATACACACACACACACACACACACACACACACACACACACACACACACACACACAGTTCTACATCTTTTATATATATATGGATTATTATAGAACTCTTAACTCGATTATCACAGGTTATATTTGACTTCATGGTTTTATTTAATGCCAAGCAATTCAGATTTACCTCCCTTGACTTGGCTACAGTTCTGCATTTTGATAATCATTATGAAAGAATTTTGCTTTTTCTAAATCCTTAAAAGTAAAAATATCCAAAGAAAGTTAAGAGGAAATGTCAAATGTAATATATTAAGTAACCTGGTCCCACTACTTATAAGCTATTCTCTTTATTGCATCATGCAGTAGGTTCACTTTAGTGTTGTTGTGTAAACCTTGTGATCATAAGAATGGGATATCACATTACTGAATCATGTGACCAGTTTATGTGATTAATATATTAAGTTGCTTTTGTTTGTTTTTTTTTTTTTTTTTTTCTATTTTCCTCTAAACTTTGTATTCAATTGATTTAGGACATGCAATCAATGTTCATTTTGTTTTCTATTTCCAAAATTGGTATATGGTTTTAATTTTTTTTTTTTTTTTTTTTTGGCGGGGAGAGAGGATTTCGTTTGTTTAGCACTCTCAGCAAGAAATGATGACATGCAATTTCATTAAAAAAAAAAAAAATTTCTTCAAGTTACCCTCACATTTCAAATCTTATCCCCTGTCTCTCTCCCTTGCTTTGCCTTTCTCTTTCTTTCATCACAACTGCTCCTTACAATACATTGGGGAAACTTGCAGAAATTTCAAAAATAAGTATCTATGAACATAAAAGGGACTTCATACATGGTAATTTATCAAATGCATTAGTCATAAATAGAAATAAATTCAACCACGACACTGATCTAAAGAATATAGCAATTATTAAAAGAGAAAATAACTTAGACGGAAAATTCTGTGAATCCTACCAAAATATAAATCTGTACCCAGATTTTTTTCAAATATCTGTCTTTCAGAAAGAATTTCTTCTCTCACACCAACATACATGACTATAAAAATGTTAAAAAATTAAAAGAAAACTTGAAAATTCATAATCTCCTTTTGTTTAAAATATGTAATTCATATATTCAGTTAGTGTATTTTAAGCTGACACTCTGGTCACCATTCACCTTATTTCTGTTGTAATTGTGGTTGATAGTGAAATTCAAGGCAAAATAGTGCAATGACTTGCCAGTTCTTTTTGCATTGGGGATATTGAAGTTTAACCTTTCCCCCCTCTCAGAAATTCCTATACCCACTGGTAAAGCCATTGACCTCTGAGGCACAGCTCTTACACCCAGGCTGGCAACTGGATAAATTAATCCCAAATTAAAATAATATAAATATTAATTATATATTTAAAAAAAAAAAAACCTACTCGCTTTTGTTTATTAGTTGTGAAATTACATCACTTATTATCCTCCATAACTTATGTTGACTTTTCAGTTAGCCTGCAGTATATTTATGAGCAT